TTTTTCTTTTTCCTCCTGAAGTCTCTTTGGGAAGTAAAGAGTGGGGAGGGGTGGGGGGTAGGAACCTGCTTCCTTCTTTAACATCCAAAGGCCCCGGAGAGATAAAAGCTGGGGAGAGGGGGGCACTTACAGAAGATGTGTTGATTTGATGGTGCTGTTTTTCTTACACCGGGCTGAGGTCAGCTAGGAAACAGATTTGCTTGGAGGGAGGGAGGGGATTTGGAGCCTTGGGTCCGGTCAGGCCGGGTTGGGAAGGATAAGGCAGGGACCCTTTGAGAATATAAGGAAAGAAAGATATGGAAGAGCAGGCATAACAAAAAGATGAGAAGGGAGAATGTCAGAGGCAAATCCTGCTATGTCACCAAGAGACTGCTTCATACCCATTCTGTTCACCTTCATATTCTCAATCCCTCTCCCTCCCTACCTCCCTCTCCCTCCCCCCTCCATACTTCTAAAGAAGGGGCAGTCATTTATAAAGTTGTTTTTGTAATAAGCATGCTCTGTCTTCTAGCCAAGCAACTTTGAAAGGAGATTTGGTAAATCATAACCGCAGTACGTTAAGGGGTTTGTGTGTGTGTTTCTAAGCTCTTTGGCACACTGTGCCCTCTTAAAGCACAGAAGACTGAATAGGGTGGTGACACGCAGCTATATTACTTCTGAAACGTCATATAAACGATCCACTGAAGCTTTTTAATACATAATCATGCAGCTTTCCATTTTGGTAAAAAAAAAAAATAAAAAAAATCTGACCCTTATTTCAACGTCTGAAAAGTTAGAAGCAAAAGTGGGGAGAGTATGAAGAGAAGTGTGTTTCTTCCTTTCAGAGGAAAATCCAGCTGTGTTGGCCCTTCCCAGCAAAATAACACAGTTGGGAAAGATGACAGTAGCTCCAGTTATGGAAAATTATTTTGGCAATGATGGTGTTTCTATATTTTTCCTTCTAAGCACCTCAATAACTTAAACGTTTTTATAAACCAGTTTTGCCCTTTTTTCTCTTTCTCTCTTTTAAAGCAGTTTCGTTATCTTGGGATTGCTAAGTTTAGAATATATTTCTGCTAGGCAACATACAACCAAGATGTAAATGTGTTTATGATTGGAAAATAACTGTAAGAAAAAAAACAGAACCACATTTGGGGCCTCCTCGTGTCTATGATACCCACATAAAATGCTTAAAACCCACTAGGTTAAAGATCCTGAAGATTGGCAAACTCAATGGGCTGCCAGTGTCTTAGAATACCTGGTATAGCGCGCCACCTACTGGTCAGACTTAAGATTGCTGCCAGTGTTGTGTAACAGATTTTTTTTGCAGAATTTGTAGTTTTTAAGCATTCTTTAAAAATGATGGTAACATCCCCAGAGTACTGAGTTGCTGGTGGGGAACTAAAGCCACTAAGTTAAGAGACTTCAGTTCTTCTTGTGTTCTGGCTGCTTCTCAGTTCTATGAAAGGCACATTGGTGACTTTGCAGTCACTCTTCTCTGACACAAAGATAGTCGGTACTAGTGGCAAAGTGGTCAACCCAGAGGTAAGCACAGTGGGTACAGGTATACATGCTTTTCGAAAACAAACCAAATCCTGATGTGTGTTCATACGTTTGATTCTCTTCCTAAGTTTGGTTCCTTTCTAGCTTCGCCTTCCCTCTCATGTTTTAATGGAAAGGTTTAATTGTAGAATTCACTAAAAGTTGGCCCACTGGTGTGTATAAAGCTGTCACATTCCCAGGAAGCCCTTGTTTACAGATTAGGGAACATCATTTTCTCTTCATGCCCGTTGTCCTCTCTCCTGTGATGAGCACTAAAAGCATAACCGGTCATTTTGCAAGCTACCAAGTAGGGAACAAGGTGCTGTTAGATGTGATTTTGTTCCTAGTGATATTTGAACTTTGCACAGAATTTTTCGTTGTTGTTGTTTTTAGTCCAGTGATGCATTATTTTAGTTAGGAGTTTCACAATGAGGTATTCTAATCCTCCCATTCTTTCTTCATCTATTAGCTGAAATACTTCTATAATGAGAAATATTCCCTTCGTCACTCCTGAGTTTCTCTAAGGCACCGTCTGAACAAATGGAAACACCCACTGACAGCTCTTTTAAAATAACGGAGTCAGGTTTGGTCAAACAGATGCTTTATATTAGTAGACTTTTCTCTCTTAGGATTGCAAGTCTTGCAGCGCACTGGTTTCCTTAAATTTAGGTAAAACATAAAAGTTGAAAGAATGAAAGTAACTTCAGTAATGTCTTACAATGACACAAGAACCAATAGGCTAATGTGTCCATACCTTTCTAAATAAATGGACTCAGTGGTCATTAGGAAAGTGGATTTAAGGCTTTCTGGGCTAAATGGTGGCGTCAGCATGTGGACCGAAACGAACTCCAGAGCCCATCCCTCACTTCCACTGGGTGGCGCTCACTGGGAGTAAAGGGCAGAGGTGAGGTGAGGAGAGGCCAGGAAGCTTGTCCCGGGGCACAGTGGAAAAACCACCCGGTGCTTAATGAGATCTCACGGCGGACATTGGCAGCTGTGAAATCTTACAGTGACTTTGATCTGAGGGTGTTTTTTAGGGTGTGTGTGTCGGGGGGGGGGGGGGGGGGGGAGTGACCTCTAATAAAGCACAGAGGACTGAATAGAGTGGTGACAGGCAACTCTATGACTTCTGAGACCTAGAAGTTTTTTGTTTTGTTTTTTACAGAGGAAGGGAGAGGAATAGAGAGCCAGAAACATCAATGAAAGAGAAATATCCATCAACTGCCTTCTGCACACCCCCTACTGGGGATGTAACCATAACCAAGGTACATGTCCTTGACCGGAATTGAACCTGGGACCCTTGAGTCCACAGAACAGTGCTCTATCCATTGAACCAAACCAGCTAGGGTGGAACCAACAAATTTAATGCTCTTTGTACAGGATATATATATCATATATATATGATATCTCCAAAATTGAGTGCATATCTGTTGATACAAACCATTTAGAGCTTGCTTTGTTTTGTTTTAATTCTAATTTTCTTTTCCTGAAACATTGTGGGAATCGATTTTAGGAAGTAGATTGAAGAGATGTCCTTTTACATGTGAAAGGAGTTGCCCCTGGTGAGGGCTAGGACACAATTCAGGAGTCTCCTGACCTGGGCTCTTTCCTTAGACACCTGAGAATACGCGGGCTCTTATTTAGAAGGATTTGCATCAAGATACCGTCAGAGGAGTGGGTGCGTCTATAAGGATTAATTCCATTTAAAAGGCTTGGGGGAGGGGTGGCCAGCCAGAGGTCAGGGCTGCTGAATTATCTGACCTCATTGATACAGGCACATACCACATCTTTTGTTTAAGGTCCAGTATAGGACAGCAGTTTTTTTAGAAACATCTATCGGTACAGCTGCTACGCTGGGAATTGGTGAATAATAGATATCTCAAAGCACAAAAGGGGTTTTCGTCCTTCATCATGAAGTCGTCCATTTTCCGCTGGTTGTTGGGGTTTGTTCTGGCTGGAAGGCATGAGGGTGGCAGCGCCATTGATTGGAGCGCCCTGGTATGGGATCGTGTTCACAGATCACAATGCATCCTGTGATGTAGGAGGATGGGATTTGGAGTCAGGGCCTTAGGTTGAGTTAAGAATGATATTCATGTGTTGTCCCGAGACCCAGGAGAGGCTTTCTTCAAGGAAGCAGCGAAACACAAGAACAACACAGTATTGTTTTTATAATTGTATGTGGGGACATCTTAGTATAACCCTTCGGGCACAGGCACAGCGAACCACAGATTACTGTCAGGAGGCGGGGTGGGGTGGGGTGGGGATAGGTAGTTTTAGTGCCAAAACTTAGGAAGTAATCGAGAACCAGGGACTGTACAGCTCTTTCAGGTAGAACTCAATCTAGAAGAATCTTGTTCACTTTTCCACCCAAAGTGATCTATGAAGACTTTGCCTCTAAGGCAAACCGACCTTGGATAGTACGTGCCTGAAGAGATCTCCGAGGATCTGAGTCGTAGCGGGGCTGTGATTCCATCACCTGCGAAGTGCAGCTGGGGATTGAGCAGGCCGAATGTTTTGTCCTGAGAGGGAGCAGTTGGCTTTATGTGGACACTTGCTACAAGTGGACTAGTATAGAACAAAGAAGAAAATACACGGATAACGAGCAGAAGGTTAGAAGCAGGGAAGAGAAGGACTGAACAAGGACAAGATGCATCTGGCTGAAGAGTGTCTGATTTTTCTAGTGAGAAATTTGCAAAAGAACGGGAGTGAAATTATGGTTACTAAATTCTATGCATCCTATAATCCCATGTAAAAAAAAATCTGTAAGGAACCCTAGCCGGTTTGGCTCAGTGGATAGAGCATCGGCCTGTGAACTGAAGGGTCCCAGATTTGATTCCAGTCAGGGGCGCGTACCCAGGTTGTGGGCTTGATCCCCAGTGGGGGACTTGCAGTAGGCAGCCAACCCATGATTCTCTCATCATGGATGTTTCTATCTCCCTCTCCTCTCCCTCTTCCTTCCTCTCTGAAATCAATAAAAATATATTTTTAAAAAATGTTTGTAAGGATAAAAACAAAGATATTAATGATGTTTGGTTCTAGGTTTTCTTTTTGCTTGTCTTTCTGCACCCTCCCCTCCTCCCCCCCAGATTTTTCTGTAAGGAAAGTGACACTCATACATAATGTGAACTTCTGTTGAGTTTGCACTACAGTCTTAAGGAAGATTTACTTCTTGGAAGGGGCTTTACTATTGTTCCAGAAACATCCGGGTTTATGGATTTGAGTTAGGAATGCCAATTGGCTCTCATCAAGACCATAGAGTCTGGTTTTAATTATACAAAATGGCATCTTTCATAGGTAAGGGAAACAACTGCCAGCCATTCTGGAGGCGGGGGAGAGGAGGGAGCGGAGAAGGGGAGTGAGGAATATTATGTTTTATTTTTACTAGTTTTTATTTAAAGTAACCTTGGGGTTGAGATGGACACTTTGTTTTTGTTTTCTAGGCCAAACACCAGAGCACCCTAGAAAGTTTCACTAAAAGAATGCTCATGTTTGACCCAGTTCCTGTCAAGCAAGAGGCCATGGACCCTGTCTCGGTGGTAAGTTTTCCAGAATTGAACATTTCCTTATTTTATTCCGAGTGGTACTGCCATGGTCATGTGTGACGTTATTCCTTAAAGTTACTCATTACCCAACAGGCCTTTGATGGGTAAATTTTTCAAAGGCCCCGATAGTCTGAGGTTAATACCTTACTAGCAGCTGTGCACCCTTTAATAAATGGGATCCATGCTCCCTTCAGGCCTGTGCCCCACATTCCTCAATATACCCTCAACATGGAACTTGGGCCACAGGAAAATCTTCCCACCACAGAAGTAAGTTTACAAAAACTCCGCAGCTTCCAGATTTTTTAGTCGGAGCTCTCAGGATTATTGATCTTAGCATAAAGTAAAATAACAATTAAAAAAAAAAAAAGAGAGAGAGAGAGAGACAAGTTTGGCTAGACTGATTTTTTTTTTTTTTTAACATAAATGTGTTCCCAGGGACATTTTTTAAAATATATATTTTATTGATTTTTTTACAGAGAGGAAGGGAGAGGGCTAGAGAGCTAGAAACATTGACGAGAGAGAAACATCATCCAGCTGCCTCTTGCACACCCCACACTGGGGAGGTGCCCGCAACCAAGGTACATGCCCTTGACCGGAATCGAACTGGGACCCTTCAGTCCGCAGGCTGACACTCTATCCACGGAGCCAAACCGGCTTCAGCTCCCAGGGACATTTTAAAGTTAATTATATATTTTTTAAATTTTTTGAATGTGGATTTTTGGTTTTAATAGAAAAAAAAAAATGAACAAAAGCACAAGGATGAAGCCCAGAGGATGGGAATCCAGGAGTCGCAGGGCATCCTGCTCCCCTGGCTCCTTGCTGGCCGGGGGCTGTGCTCCCTGCCGCAGCAGCCTGGGCCGGCTAGGCCCCCTGGCTGGCATGGCCTTGGCGCTCACAGTCAGGCCTCTTCCCTCTCACCTGCCTGGGCCTCCCCTAGGGAACACCCCAGACCAGTGGCAAACCCCTGCATAGACTCCAGTGTGTGCTCTGGATCTCAGTGGCGTTCTCTAGCGTGGCCAGAGCTGACGTTCAGCTTTTGCTGTAAGGCTGTCTCGTCCAAGGGCTGTAGCTCCATGCTGCACAGAGCTGAGACGCAGGCCTAAGAGGCATCACAAATGGTGGCACCTCCCTCCAGGGCTGCTCAGCCTGGCTCCCGACATAGGGACGTTAATTTTCAAAACTTGTGGGCAGTGTTTATCATGGTAAGGAAGCAGTATCCTAATGTACCTATAAAAATCTGTATTCAGAATATGATACAGGCCAAAACTGGTTTGGCTCAGTGGATAGAGCGTCGGTCTGTGGACTGAAAGGTCCCAGGTTCGATTCCGGTCAAGGGCATGTACATTGGTTGCGGGCACATCCCCAGTGGGGGGGTGTGCAGAAGGCAGCTGGTCGATGTTTCTCTCATCGACGTTTCTAGCTCTCTATCCCTCTCCCTCCCTCTCTGTGGAAAATCAATAAAATATATTAAAAAAATATATATATGATACAGGTGACTTAGAGGTGTTTTGTTTTTGTTTGTTTTTTACTCAAGATCACCACTCTTATTATATAGAAGTGTTTCTCAAACATGTTGGAGGTTTTACGTTTTTTAATAGTGGAAGTAAAAGATATTCCATTAGGTCTCATAGTATTTAGGGTGTGTTTCATAGAGCTGATTTAAAAGACGAAAACAAAATAAAATAACAACTGCTCAGTTAAGAATAAAATGCTTTGCTTAGCCGAAACCGGTTTGGCTCAGTGGTAGAGCGTCGGTCTGCGGACTGAAAGGTCCCGGGTTCGATTCCGGTCAGGGGCATGTACATTGGTTGCGGGCACATCCCCGGTAGGGGGTGTGCAGGAGGCAGCTGGTCGATGTTTCTCTCTCATCGATGTTTCTAGCTCTCTATCTCTCTCCCTTCCTCTCTGTAAAAAATCAATAAAATATATTTTTTTAAAAAAATGCTTTGCTTAATGGAGCTATGACCATGTGAGAGATGGCCGGAGGGAATCTAGTGAAAGAACGAACTTGGCAGTGAGGAGGAATTTTATTTCACTTGGAAGAGTCTGGGTGGGTGGGAAGTATGTTCCTTGTCTTTTTCCAACACCTAGCCGGACCTCTGTTTGCTGCTTTTGGGCCACCAGGAGGCTAGTCGTTAGTCCAAGTCATTGATGGGACCTGGGTGACCACACGAAGGTGTGTCCCGCTGCAGAGCAGGGAGTGGCTTAGACTTGAGGAGATCTGGTTTTAACAAATACGAAGTAACAAGGCCATACTCTCATTCTTGCTCTTTTCTTCCTCGGGCTTGACAAACAATTCACAAGGGGAAAAACTTGGCCCGAGTTGCATACGAGAAGGTTGGTAATGACACGCTTGCAAAATTAGATCATCCTTATGCATTGGCCGTGGAGGCTCCTGCCAAAAACGTTTATACAACACACAGGGGTCAGTCAGAGGCCCTTGGAACTGAGTTGCCACGGCTGTTCCTAAGCCAGTGAAGGGCTTATCACTGGGTGCAGTGAAAAGTGGCTTTAAGGAAATAACATTTACATTCCAGCATAATAACTGGATAACTGAGTGTCTGAATATGATCCCTGGGCAATAAGAATTTTATTAATCAAACAGTGAACTGACTTCTGATGTTATTCAGTGCCGTCAACGCATTCCTCAACCATTCCCCCAACTATGGCATGATCATGTTGGAGGAAAATTAAGGTGTAAAATTTCTCCATTAATTATACCCTTGAACTATGAATAGGTTTTTAGTACCGGAGAGTATGATTAGTTTTCTAAATGATGCACAACCATCAATGTGTACTTCCTGTGCTTTTAATCAAGCATGGAAATAGGAGTGCTCCAGAGCCTAATTTAAAGCTAAAGAATGAAGATGCGCTTTGCTAAGTTAGTTACGATATAATTAAATGCAAGAAAATGCACTTAACTGAAAACAGGAAATAAAGTGCACTTGAATATTAATACATGAACTTAGAATATATAGAAGTATTTTTGCAATGAATGGTCTTTTTCTCCTTTGTGCTCGAGTTTGCAACTTTAGCCAACTCTTACAGAAATTAGTTCGTTTCACCGACAGTTAGTGTCTGTGCTTACAGTGAAGTTTCTTTTTAATTCAGTGAAATCTCAGTTAACTGAAAAATTCGGAGACTAGGGTGCTGTGATTATTTTCTTGACAAAATTAAATAAGCTTTTGTTTTCATTCTTTTAAAAAATATTTTTTTTATTGATTTCGGAGAGGGAGAGGGAGGGAGGGAGGGAGGGGAAGAAACAACGAAAGAGAATCTTTGGCCAGCTGCCTCCCGCATGCCTCGTACTGGGGCTAAACCTGCAACTTTCAACCCAGGCATGTGCCCTCACAGGGAATCGAATTGTGACCTCCTGTTCTAGGCCTATTCTCAACCACTGAGCCACGCCATCCAAGCCTTTTCACTCTGAAATCTTCAAATTTCTTCTCTCCTGCCTTCATGGGTGGAGTGCATGAAACTTAACTTTTTTTTATTCCTTTATTTTTCCTTCTTAGTTCCATCTTTGATCTGAAGGTTGAAGTCTTTGGTTATTGAAGCTATGTTTTAAACATTAAGGCAGAATAGAATAATTTGTAAGAGGAATTTTTTTTTTAATTCCACATAGAATAAAAATACTTTATGGTGATTTATCTTCCCTCCCCACCCCCATTTTTCTTAAAATGAGAGCATAGCAGAAGCAATCTGCCTATTTGGTATTTTTCTATAATTTAGAGAAAGTGAGGCTTACCTCATGTAAGCCTTCATACCATCCTGTGCTTTGAGACACATAGTTAGGCTTGATATACTGTCTTATTAGAAATCTCCAGAATCAGCCGAGTCCGGTTTGGCTCAATGGATAGAGAGAGCGCCGGCTTGGGGACTGAAGGGTCCCGGGTTCGATTCCGGTCAAGGGCATGTACCTTGGTTGCAGGCATATCCCCAGTAGGGGATGTGCAAGAGGCAGCTGATCGATGACTCTCTCTCATCTATGTTTCTAACGCTCTATCTCTCTCCTTTCTTTGTACAAAATCAATAAAATATATTTTAAAAATAAATAAATAAAATAGAAAGAAAGAAAGAAAGAAAGAAAGAAAGAAAGAAAGAAAGAAAGAAAGAAAGAAAGAAATCTCCAGAATCAGGAGAGGAGACTTCACCTGCTCTGTGCCTGGGTCTCTGCTACTGACTCTCAGTGCACAGTTGGCAAAATGGTCAGCAGCTGCTGAGCTCTTTTTTTTTTTTAATTATTATTTGTAAAATTGGAGATTATAATTTCTAAACCATGGACACCATGTGAATGAATATAAAATGCACATGTGTGAAGAAATTGTCTTCACACCCATTCATTTCCAAAGAAAGTCAAAGAATTTAACTCAGGAAATGAGAAAGAAAACAAATTTTAAAAGAGTATTCTTCCTCCTTCTATTTCTATAGGAAGGTTACTTTTGAAGAAAGTACATTTCTTTTTCCTTTTTCAAATGAACACTGTTGTCTAACAGACGCCTGACAGATTGAGAAGCACTTGACAGTTCATCTGCTCTGTTCCAGCAGGAACTTTTTTCACTTTCCACGGCTCTTCTGTGCCTGGGAGAAAGAGCGCTTTCTGCTCGTGTTTGCACAGAGAGGCATGACATTTGCAGTTTCCAGCGTGTGTGTTTGTACACGCACCACGCCTTGCCGCCCTGGGCGCCCCACCCTGCGTATGGAGATTCCTTGGGCTTGCCATCGCCCTGTCGCGGATGGCCACTTCTTTTTCATACTCATGAATAGTGAAATGGAGACTTGATGCACGTTAGCCGTCTTGTAATGGAAACCTCACCAGAAGTATTCCCCCCAAAATAAGAAACTATTGAAATTCTCACTGTAGTATAAAGGGATGGCTTTGGAGACGTGTCCAAGCCAAACCTTTTGGAAAAGTAAGCCCAGTACCGCCCCCAGATGGAAGGGGGGGGAGAATCCCTTGCGTGAGCCCTGTCTTCAGGCTGCGGGCTGCTGGGCTGCTGGGCTCGGCACACCGAGCCTCCCTGGCTGAGCAAGTGGAGGGGGGAGAGGAGGGGAGGGTGGCATTGGATGTCCTTCAGCGGCCAGAAGCGCTTTTCTCCACTCCGATTTGGATTAGGGGCCCCGTGTGGCCACACCTATTTGCATGGCTTCGTTAGAAGACAGGAATGGTCTGGAACAGAAAGGAAGCAACTGTTGACCAGAGTGTGCACACCCGGAGCAAACCCTGCATCCGTCCTTCCCCTCCGGAAGACTGGGTTGCTTAGCTGATTGCAGCAGCCACTCGAAGGCTCTGATAAACACGGCTAGGACATTTGCTAGTGAGACGGTTTGAGGAACCGCATTTCTTCACGAGGGGGTCGGACTGGGAAGAGTCCGCTGTGTGCCCAGAGTTGTCTCCTTACCGGTAGCCTCGTGGCCTCACTGACACCACCCAGCAGTCGGCGGCGTAGGGCACAGGGGGCATTCGCTGGAGGGCAGACTCTCAGCACAAAATCTGCACCCTGTGTAGAATACTTGGCTTTCGGAATGGCTGTCTCTTTTCCTTTACGGCGAGAGAAGCCTGGGAATATTATTGAATTTGCCCAATCTCCCAGGTCCTAAATTCCTTAAAATCACCCTCTGATAGAAAAATCCAGCAATGACAGCAACAAAAGCATGTCCTCATTTTGCTTCCTATTGAGCTGCCAATAACTTGGCATTAAAATCTAGGTCAGAGGGAGCTCTTGGAAGAATAGGGCTGAAAATAAGGGAGAAGCTACATTTTGGTGAGTAGAGACGACTGACGCTGCCTCTCGTTTCCTGAAGTTTTTGTTTCTAGTTCTTGCACTTTAGAGAAATATATAGAGAGCAGATTAAACTTTAGAACCAGGGAAGGTCCCCCCCTCCTCTCCGTGTTTAATTACTTCCTTAAACCCTCATTGTACATAGTTTGTAATTTTTTTAAAATACATTTTTATTGATTTTTTTTTACAGAGAGGAATGGAGAGGGAGAGGGATATAAAGTTAGAAACAACAGTGAGAGAGAAACATCAACCAGCTGCCTCCTGCACGCCCCCTACTGGGGATGTGCCCGCAACCAAGGTACATGCCCTTGACCGGAATCAAACCTGGGACCTTTCAGTCCGCATGCCCTTGACCGGAATCAAACCTGGGACCTTTCAGTCCGCAGGCTCTATCCACTGAGCCAAACTGGTTAAGGCTGTAATTTTTTTGTTTTGTTTTTTAGTGAGTCTTGTGCCTCTTTCAGTATTTCAATTTAAATATATATAATGTTAATATTGCTGTTATGTTTGGAGTCCTCATACCTTGTGGGGTGCCTGGGTCTAAAAAAAAGTTAGGAATGGATTTTTCTTCATTTGATTTTCTATACATAACTCAAAGCTGTTTTTTAAAAACAATTTATATATTTTGGATTTTCTAATTTTATTTCCTTCACATCCTTGTTTTTAGGCAGATTTATTAATGCCTATTCTTCCCTCCCCTCTTTAAATTGTTTTTAAGCAACATATCAGATTTTAATACTAAGAGTTAGTATTTTTATTCTCTATCGCTATTATTAAGAGTCGTGCCATTTGGAAGGCGGTCTGTGCCCCTCTGCCACCTCCCAGCCAGTGAGAATCTACAGTTTAACAGGATCCCCAGTGCATTTGTGAAGCCCTGGGTAGGAGGGTCACAGCCCGCTATCCTGCACTCCTAGTGTGAGAAAAGAGAAGGGATCATAGGGCTGCAGGGTTTGAAGCTCATACACAGGCCACCTCCTTGAATCCAGTTTTGATTTTAGCCTCTCAGCCTTCCAAGAGGAGCTTGGCCATATCCTGATGGCACCTGTACTTCTAATATTTAGTTAGCACTATTTCTTGCCCTCTTTTATAGAATTGCTTTTGTTAACATGGTTTTTTAATAGGGAACATTATATCACTACTGTAAAAAAAAAAAAAAGTTTTTCCGTATGCATTTAAATAAGCACCTATTTTAAAACACTGTATATTCACCGGGTACCGGGCTGCAGCCATCCCTGTTCTAGACCACACAGATTCTGATGATATGGATAAAGAAAAGACAGAAGAACAAAGTACTTAATCCTAAAGATGAGAAACTGATGTCAAAATCAGATAGACGTAAAGACTGCCTAGGACTTTTGCCTGATACTCGGTGTTCGGTAGGCCAGCTGTAGAGGCCAGGCACCTGCATTTCAGAAACAGCATGAGTGAGTCTGATGCATACCAGGTGGAGAGGAGCCGTCCAGCAAGACCCAGAGAGGAAAGGGGGTGATCTCTGTCAAAAGCCCAGTCAAAACCACACAATGACTGACAACTCACAGTAGTGGCCACTGGAGGGTCTGGAGAGGCTCAGAAATGAACAGTACATTCAGTCATTTAATTACAAGTCTCCGTAGGTGGGTTTTCTCAGCTGCGTCATGAGCTAGTATTGCCTCAGAATCATAACCACATAGGATTTAAGAGCTGGAAGACTGATACACCAAGGTTGTGGGTTCAATCCCCAGTCAGGGCACATACAAGACTCAATCAATGAATGCATAAGTAACTTTTTTTTATAGTAGTGATATAATGCTCCCTATTAAAAATTGTTAACAAAAATAACTCTCTTCCCCGCCTTCCTCTCTTCCTCTCTCTAAAACTCAATAAACAAACAAATAAATAAAATGTTTTTAGAAGAGCTGGAAGAGAGGCACAGTACATTGTTTATCACTTTCACTGTAAAACATTCAAATATGAGTTATTTTCTGCAGGACTATACATGTGGTTATTAAAAATTTCCCTA